AAACACCAAGCAGATATGGTGACTGAAAAACCAGAGAACTTGAAAAAGACCCAAACCTTTCCAGCTCAGAGTGGTGGTGGCAGGATTCTTACAGCTTGAAGATGGCACTGCCCATTTCTCATGTGACCTCGGCTTCTGCCCGATTTCCTCTATTGACTGAACTATGACCCATTTAATTCATGGCTTAAAGGACAGACTTGGCTTAGGTACTCAGCAGAAAGAAAGAAAGAAAGAAAGAAAGAAAGAAAGAAAGAAAGAAAGAAAGGAAGGAAGGAAGGAAGGAAGGAAGAAAGAAAGAAAGAAAGAAAGAAAGAAAGAAAGAAAGAAAGAAAGAACAAATTGTTAAACTTGTACCTTTGATGAGAAGCCAATTTATCTGTCTGGGTGTACAATGGCCCTTAAGTGTAGAGGACAAAAGAAATTATTCATTTTTCTCAGGTAAATCCATAACACTTTTCATGAAGAGGACAGCATGGCCCCTGTGTCACCATCCTCACAGGTAATATGGAGGCTGTTTGGACAGTTAGCTTTGGAAGGGCAGAAACTGAAAGCATGATAGGAAAGGCACTGATTGTTCTATCTTAGTACTTATTAATGATGCCCCAGACACTGAGAATTTAGACAGTCAAGACGTGCATGATAGATTGCTGTTACAAAATTCCCAGTGATATTATTGTGAAGAATAAACAGGAAGTGGCCAAAAAGCTGCTCCCTTTCAAAAGCCCAATTTTCATACAACTGTCAACACAGCAATTATCTTGTCTTTTTTTTTTTTTTTTTTTTTTTTTTTTTTTTTTTTTTGAGGAAATTTTGGAGCCTGCTTAAGGATCTTCTTTCTTAAAAAGAGACTTCTGAGTCAAAATGTCTTCAGATCTCCCAGGAAAACCACTGAAGCAGAAAGTGTGTGATTCCCAGGCCAGGTTTGTCTGAGGAACGGCAAGCCCTGAATTCAGGCATTCTTGCTGCGCTCAGCAGACATGGCCCGGCAATCAAAACCATTTGATTCCAAAGCTGATATTCCTGTAACAGGCAGGTTCCAGCTCATTGTGAGCTCTGAAAAGGCATAATTACAAACAGTGATGACAAGAAGCATGCTTAACATAGTCTTGATTCTTTCAAAAAGTTTTTCCTGTAGTTGCTCACCTGTCCTTAGGAAACCCTTATGTGGCAGGGGAGGTGGTGGCCACCCTGGTTTAGGATGCACAGGGGCCAGTCTTGTCAAGAGGCCGAGTGGCTAGACCAGGCTATATCTTCTCACAATCTCACCATGATTCCTTGATGAAGTGCATGGGATTTGATGCATCCATCACATATGTTTGAGAACTGATGATACATTCTACAGAATGGTGAAAACTTATACATGGCCTTAGATGAAACTGTGTACTTGGCAAGGGAGGGTATGGTGTAAGGGCAGAGTTGGGAGATACTACCAATATTACTCTGTTCTAGAAACTGCCATGGTGGCCTCTTCTCCCACAGAATAACACCTTGGTTTCCTCTAGGGAACATGAAACACCAGATCCTTAGCAGGAGAGGAGAAGTTGCTGTAGCTTCTTGTGTTTGCTTTGTTTTTCTGTTGCTGTGTAACAAACTTTGCATCATCTAAAGTACTACAAATTTGTCATCTCACACTGCTACATGTGTGTACACATGTGTGGAGGACAGAGGACAGGTACTCTCCACCTTTTTTTCTTCTTTCCTTCCCTTCTTCCCTCCTCCCCTCCTTCCTTCCTTCTTTCCTTCCTTCCCTTCTTCCTTTCTTCCTTCCTTCCTTTCTTTCTTTTCCTCTTGAGACAGGGTTTTGCACAGGAATTCATAAAGGGGCTAGGCTGTCCTGCCAGCTAGCCCCAGGGATCCACCTGTCCCTCGGTGTTCTGATTATAAGCACATACCACTGCATCTGGGTTTTCTGTGTGGCTGTGTAAGTGGGTTGTAAGGACACCACTCAGGACCTTGTGCCTACAAGTTAAGTACTTCACTGTCTAGGCTGTCTCTCCAGCCATGGCTAGTAGCCTTTGTGACTCCAGAGCCTGGAGTCATGTATTTGGACTTCTGCTCCAGTTTTTATGTCTGAAATCAATGTGCTGGACACAGAAACAGATCTTTGTTGGGTGTGAAGTCTTTCTCTACTGGTAGCATTTGTTTCCTTACAGTTGTATGATGGAAGTTCCCACTTTCTTCCTGGCAGCTGAATGGAGGTTGCTCCCAAGTCTAGATGCCACTTTTGGTTCATTGATACATGACTTCCATAGGCAGTTCACAGCATGTCTGGTTGCTCTGTTTTTGGTCAGCTTGTGCCACTATTTTATTCTAAAGTCTCACCCAACAAGGTCAGACGCATGTAGAGTATTGTCCAAAGTTATCCACAAGTCTTTCTTTGCATCTGCCATTACTTAAGTGACTGTCTGGACTTTCAACTTCTATATTCATCAGTTTTTACCTCGAAGTCTACTAATAGAGCCTGATAGTCCATCTCACTCCCAGGCCCTGCCCACACTCAAGGGAACATATTATAGAAGGCATACACAGAAGTACGTAGGGCTTTGGGGGAGTCACTTTAGAACCCTGATTCCCATGTGTCTTTCTACCCATGGTTGTGGATTTCTGTCTTACTGTGTGCATTGTGTTGGCCTCCTCTGTCAAGAAACCACATTTTTCCAGATGAACAAAGTTCCTACCCCTCCTTAAGAAACAGCAATATTTTATAAAGGGAATAAATCACTAATATGAGAGTTTCAAGTAAGGCAATAAGCACCTGTTCTTGCATTGTCTGATCTTAACATAATGTCTGGCACTTGTGAGTTCTCATTTATGTTTCTTCAATGGATGAATATGTGAATGATTAAATGGGAAATATTTTGGTCATCCTTGTCAAATTGTCTACTCCCTCCACATGCAAGATGATTCCTCCTTTTAGTTTTTGTTCCTGATAATGCAAGCTTATTGGGAAAAAAAAAACCACTTCTATCGTTCCACTTTTTATAGTTAACTTTTACATCCATATGGAACTAAGTTCTCAGTGTTATGCATAAAATATTCCATTCTTACCCAATTATTCTGCATTGGCTTGGTTTTTATATACTAACTGTTGTGTAAGCATTAGTATTGAGCTCTTTTACTTCATTGATCAGCATGTCCAATTTTGTGAACTAGCATCACTATTTTAATTCTGAGAAGGTTATTATGTTTTAAAATCTGAAGGGACAGGTGTGTCATTATTCTTCCAGTACCCCAACTTAGCTGGTTAAGTGAGTACAGTCCCTCACTCCTACTCTGGCTCACCAAATGATACAGTAGTATTTGGCCAGAATGAGGTTTACATTTTGCCTATTTTTCTAGCTCAACACCTCTGGTTCCCATCATAATATGACTTCATAATTATAATGCCTACATGGGAAACTTTAATAATGGGTCCAGCTTCTAAGTATCTCTCAGCACCCAGCTCCAGATCAATAACTGCCAGGGAGAAGGAGTACTATCTGAATGCCCAGATTCTCAGGCTCCCTTCTGCCCTTCCATCCTTCCATACAGGGACTCTGAAAAGCATCCTGTACCAATGCTGAGGCCTCTGTATCTCAGGCTCAGTATAACTTTGGAGATGGGAATTCCAGGGTTCACACTTACCTCCAGCAGACCCTTTTAGGTTCTATGGATTAGTGAGCTGACATGTCTCAGAGTGCTCCTGGAGCGATTCTGGAAGGCAGCATGAAGCACTGAAGTCCCCTTTGCCTCCCTTTGCAGGGGAGTGAAAAGTTCAGAGAATTACCACGTCTGTCTCACCCCCAGGGCATCCTATCTCTGAGTTTTGGCAGCCACAGACAATCATCAAACCATGAATTACAGGTGCTGGGTGTTGGAAGTCATTCTGGCACACCCTGAAGTGGTGTTGGCGAGGGGAACATGCACAGTGCTCTGACAGCACATGCTAGAAATTAAAGATTGGAGAGAGAGCAGCAGTTCCAGGAAACCCGGCAGTACTGAATGATTCCTTGCCTCTAGAGGTTGATAAAGGTGACCAGCTGTCCTTAGAAAAAGTATAGGCCCTGGAAATCAGAGGTCTGTGATGAGTCATAGCGCAGCTAGGAATGGAGAAAGACAGAAGCAGTCTTCTTGCTGGCATTTTCCCTCCAACCCAAAGAAAGCAGGGAATACACTTATTCACTCCTTCCAAAAGGATGTCTGCAAGCATGCTCTGAGCTCAGCATTACCTGAGGTAGACGGATGGAAGAGACACAGAGTGGTCCTTGCGGGACTCCTTGCCTAGTAAGGAGAGAAGGAATCCCATGGACTCCTTGTGGCCTGGTTCTCATCTGATTCCCCATTCCAACCCCATCCTTGTACCACCTTCAGTAGGAGACTAGATTGGATGCTCAACCTCAGAAGAGTATTAGCTACTGCATAGTCAATTGTTTATTTCTAGAACCCATCTTGGATCCAGACAGGAGAGTGATTTGCTCAGGTTTTTCAGTTTCAGAGCAGCAAAGGGGTAAAAGTACTTTTCTCTCCTGCAAGTCTCCATTTGAAGCATAAGGCTGCTGGAAGGTATCACTCTGTCTGCGAGGCAATTACAGAAATATGTGAACATGTTTGTGAAAGGGATGATGCCTAGTGAGCCCAGGCAGGAATGGAGCTGGCATTCATACCCCCTGAGCTCAAACCTTCTTCTTCATAAGCTGTGAGAACATAAGTCGCTGTCTCAACTTAAGGTCCTTTTTCGCATCTGTGAGTTGCTGACATGGTGCTTCTTCGTAAGTTTGTGTTTAAAGAAATAAAAATCATACACACTGAACACTCAGATAAATATCTTTGAGCATCAGTTGCATTTCATCACTACTAGGGAGGGTTTCACTGTCCAGTTATGTATGATGCTCTCAGATGCGACACAGCCTTGTACCCACCTCACATCTCTCTTGTACTTTTCTAGTTTGGAGCCCTGGAGGAGCAGCACCGAGAGGGAGAGCTTGGCGAGAGAATGAAGACACTAACCGCCTCGGAGAAGCATGAGGTGGCAGCGCAGCTCTCAGTTTAGAGGGCTTTGGCCGGAGGCCGCCCCATGGGCAGTCCTGCTGGCTCTAGGCGTGCCCGGGTGGGTACTGGCTGTCTCAGCCACCGTGGCCGCTGTGGTCCCGGAACAGCATGCCTCCTCGGCTGCCCAGGCTCCCCTGGACTGGCTGCTCACAGACCGAGGCCCCTTCCACCGTGCCCAGGAGTATGCTGATTTCATGGAGCGTTATCGCCAAGGGTTCACCACCAGGTATAGGATCTACAGGTGAGTGGAGTCTCCTACAGAGGCCAGCCTAGGCAGTGTCCAGCTGGTGTGTCAGGCCTGAAGCCCAAACTGATTAAAATGCCCTCAAGCTGAACTAGAGGTGGAATATGGAGAAACATTGGGCCAGGAAATACACCTGCCATGTTTTTTTTGGTTTGTTTGTTTGTTTGTTTGTTTTTGCTTTTGTTTTTAAAGAAAACACATACAAACTAGAAAACCTGCTGATGCCTCCTGGGAACTTAGAGAAAGGGTTTCTATTTATAGATTGCTCTGCTTATAAATTGAGGACAAATCAGGCAACATTCGGATAGCATGTGACCCAGGCTGCAGTCAAATGCTGGGCCCTGTTTTAACTAATGGGGTAGGAACTCTTATGAATTGCAATTACTTAGCCATGCCATGAAGGAAGGCAAGTTTACCTATTGCCTCAGGGGTTTGGGGAGCCTGCATGGTTAGGGTCAAACCTTGACAACACCAAATGGTCAGCTAGCTTTGACCATGGGAAGAGGCCCATCTCTAGGAACAACCCACATGAAAGGCAAGCGGATGTGTCTAGTTTGTCCATAAGATGAGGGAACAGCACATATTTCTGGTTGTTAGACTACACTGCAAAAGTGGAAAGCTCCTCACCCTACTGACCAGGAAAGGCTAGGGCTCACACAACATACCTCTGGTTTCAAACTTTCCTTTTGCCCCTGGCATCCTTGCCCCTCTACCATCTCTCTCTTTTTCTCCTTGATAAGATAATACTGATCTTATCAGTATTAAAGGCATTGTTAGCCATTTGGGAGCTTTACTGATTTTTTCTCTATTTAAAAACATTTATTTTCTAAATTAGTGTTGCTGTTGTTGTTGTTTGGTTTGTTAAGACAGTATTTCTCTGTGTAACAGACCTGGCTGTCCTTGAACTTTCTTTGTAGAGCAAGCTGATGTCAAACTACAACTCCTGGGTGCTGGGATTGAAGGCAGGTGCCACCATGTCTGGATTCTAGGTCAGTTTTAAGGCAGAATAATAGGAAGAAAATATGGAAAAGCATAAAGGAAAACAGAAACACAAAATCATTCATCCTTTTAGCATCTAGACATTTGTTCACATTTTCGGCATCTGTGTTTCTAGCTCTGAATATAAAGTCTTTGGATATCTCCCTAGACTCAGCACTTAAAGTTTCACTTAATTTGTTTATATTTTTATGATTTTTCTCTGTGTGCAAGCATGAATGCATGGATGCTTGTTGTACATATGTGTGTGGACGTGTCCATGCATGCATGGATGAGTGTGTGTGTGTGTGTCTGTGTGGCCAGCTTCACACACCACATGGTGCCCATGTGGACATAGAGGACAACTCTCAGGACTCAGTTTTCTTTTTGCCACCTTGTGTGATCCAGGATGGGACTCAAGTCATCAGTGTATCTGTTGACAGAAGCATTTCATGAGTCCTTGTGTCAGCCCTTTCCCTGACTTAAGAGCTCATCTCCCTCTTTTAAGCCTCCCCCCAATTTTTAGTGATATGGAAAATGAGGTCCAGAGGAGTCCTAGTTAGCAACAAATATCCAGGTTTTACTTCCAAATAGTCAGATGCTAGAGTCTGAGTTTTTAGAATAGAATTAGAGATATTTGATATCATTCTCCTGGGATTTTTTTTCTTTTTAACATTTATAGTGACTTCGCAACCTGTTTAGGGTAATGTGGGGCATTGGAAGCAAGGTTTAGGAGGATTATGGTGTAGGAAGAGAACAGAGCAGACACTTATGGAGCCAAATCACATGGTTTACAACTCTCAAACTTGGATACAAACAGGGCAAGATCAGACAGCTGAGATGCTGGTGCACCAAGGATCTTGCCATCTCCCCTCACTAGCCATATTTATACATTATGCCCAGCCCAGCCCAATTCTGGAAAAGACTGAAGCTTCTGTCCCTAGCTTGAGTGGAATTAGTCCTTGTAATTCTTCTACGAATCTAGCAGAGATTCATACTGAATCGCTGAGGGCTGAATCAACCCACTCAGACAAAAGCAGAATCGTAGAAGAACTAGAGCATAGGATTAACTCAACTTTCAATAAGTATGTAGAATTCTAGGCACATGTCCCCACAAATTTTCTATACTGTAATTTAGGGCAATCTTTTATCCATCTTACAAAAAAACAAAACTTGCATTTTAGCAGAGAATTCTTCCAGTCCAGTAAAATGAGATCTAATTTACCTTCCATGATTTGCTGTATTCAAGTCTCACAGAAGTCCCATCTTCAGAAAAATATTTTTTATTAAGTGTATTGGAATAGAAGGCAAGCTAGGAATCCTAATATCACTATGAACTTCAAAGAGCCATAGGAAAGAGAACCAAGCCAATGCTCGCTTGCCTCCTTTTTCTCTTCTTGGTAGATTCTTTCGCCCTCACTTAAGCCCCAGGCCTAAGTCTGGATAGCTTAGCAGCCAGTTAATGCCTGGATGGCAGCTCAGAACTGGCCCATGGGAAGTGTCTCTAATCTCTTCTGCACCATCAATCCTCTATCAGGTAATAATGGTTTTCTGATCATATAATGTGACAAACTCTACACTGTGCTGCTCAGTTTTTCTGAGGTCAGTTATTGCACATGAACCTGTACTTGGGGACACAGTAACTAGTCATTCTGAAAGGAATGCAGCATTCTGATTTGTGACCCTTTGGCGGGGCTAGAGGAGAAAGATCACGCACCGGTGTTCCAAGAGCATTCTGGGAGATTTGCCTTCAGTGATTAAGTAAAAATGTTGCCTTTATAGATATTGGTAGGGCTCTATATTTTCCCATTGGGAATTCTTTCTGAGTCCCTTTTCTTTTTGGATCCCATGGCAGTTGCCTCTGGCAAATTCAGGACCTAGCTTATGATGATTAAAGCAGGTCACAGGAAACTGGTAAAATAGACACTGAGTCACACCCAAATTTCTCCCCTGCTATTCAAAGGGGCCAAAAAGAAAACAGCTGACAGAGAGTATCAGAAAGACTTTGTGGGAAAACTATTGTGTCTCAAGAAAAATGAGTCTTTTGTTTTATCCTTTAAGAAGCTTTTGGTACATAGAAATCAGATGGTATCCCTATATGCTTTCTTTATAAGGGGAGAATCAATTGACAGCAAATACAAGATTTTCCAAGGGTGCTGAAATGCAAGGTGCAGAGTTACCTGGCAACTCTCTCAACCACAGGAAAAAGACCTTCCTTTTCATCTAGCTGCAGATGCTTAACAGCAAGGTGCTACTATTAACCCACCTGACCTCATGTATCCTTAGTTAACTATCAGAGTGAACTCTCAATCTGAAGAGATAGCCAATCTTTCCAGAATAATTTCAGTCCCTCTGCCTATGGGTTCCCAGAGAAAGTTCTTATTCCCTTTCATTGGCTTTCTATAGGTGTAGGTGCTTAAGGGTTAAGACTCTAGAGCAAGAAGCCCTGGGTTCTAGTTGTGAAACTGAAGTTTACCAGCTGTATCATGTTTTGTAAACTACTATTTCCCAATATTCTGATTTGTAAAGTGAAGATAACAACAGTGCCCACCCCAAGACTAAAGTGAAATTAAATGAGTTAGCTGATACAAGGCACTTGGACTAGTGGTTGATAAATATTACTTATTGCTATTAGATTGTTTTTAATAAGTATTGGCCTGGGCAAAAAATGGTAAGATGAGATGGGAACCATAGCTATGATTGTTATGAAGCCTGGAGAGGGCTTAGCATACAGCAACCTATTTCGAATGAGAGAATTCCTTTGTTGTTTTAAAGCACTTTAACCTGTACCCCTCAATCTGGCTCTTTATGGAGAGACAATTGCCAGTGAAGAACAACTGATGGTTTTCACACATACTCTGTACTGGCCACGAGGGCTACTGGAGGGAGCAAGTAACTTTTGGCATAATTTGAAATGTCACAGGCTTAGTTCTTGCTCCTGCAGTCAGAGGTAGCAGAACGGCACTCCTCGGGCATGTCCTCCAGAGGCTGACCACTGCAAGCTCCCTGATCCCTGTGTGTGGTGGTGCTAGTAGGAAAGGAGTATGTTCTGTCTGGTTAAGCCCCCATGAACAGTAAGATGGTCTTGGCATTTTCCCTAAAGGTTTAAAATCTCACTCACTAACATCTCAGCATTTGTTTCTCCCATAAAAACACAATCTGAAGCATAAGTCCACCTCTTAGACACCACTCTCAGCAGGCTACTTAGAAGAGCTCTAGGAAGAGAGATCCTGTCTCCAGTTCCATTTGTGACTCCCAGCTGCCCTCACCCTTGATTCACTTCATAGTCCCACTACAATAAACACTTAGTGCCTAGCCTCTCCCAGCCATGCCACAAGGCAGATAGAGCCTATTAGGGTCTTTGGCATTGAGATAGAGTTGTTCAAGGTCAGAGAGGTAGCCAGTCCCAGCCAGAAATAGCACTGGGGCTCCTGGCTTGACGTCTCCTGCTCATTACTCTAGCCCATGCCACCTCCCTTTGACTGCTAAGTGTGTCTTCATCATAACGCACAACTTAATCAAGCCCCTAAATTGAGATGATGCAAATGTAAATATGGTTTCTCGAAACACTCTAGCAGTAATGTTTCATTCTCTCTCTTCTACAAATCAAAGTAATGAGCAGTCTGGTTTTTTTTTAAATTTCTTTTTGTATTAAAGTTTTAATAGAGGGATAATCATGGGATTGGAAAAAATCCAAGCCACAATGATAAAACACTTAAAACCTGGAAAGAATATATTAAAATTGAGAAAGTTAGGAATCATACAGAACAGCGAATATAACATGGTGGTTGGGAGAAAAGCAAAGCCAGGTGTGACCCCAGATTGTTGGCCTCACTAGCTCTGTGCAAACCTAATTCTTTCTGGAAAGGAATGGTCTGAGGTTACATCAGAAGTCTGAGATGAAAACACAACAAGCCATTAAACAAAAAAAAAAAAATGCTTTGACAGACCAGAACATTGTATTCTGGGGAAACTCCACAAATTTCTAGACCCTCGGAAGAAAACAACTGAAAGCCAAGTTC